GACAGACCAGCGTCAACAAATGACCTGGGGAAGCTGAACTGTCATTAAACAACAACTGGAGGTCACGGTCAGCTCAGCCCAGTTGTTGTTCAACTCTATCAGGTGTCGGCCAATATGAAACAGTTTGGTGGAGCTAGAGCTAGCTGTCACTGCTACAGAGATTAGGAGAAGGGTATGTTCCATAGTCCAGAAGATGGGCAAAAGATATATAATATTATAGGATATGCTCAGGTTTTCAAGTTCACATATGAGATTTGTACTAGCAGGCAGCAGTATCTAATATGTTAATATGTCTGATGTTCTGCAATATTCTGAGCTTATTGGAACAGCCATCTACTGTACATTGAAATGCAGGTCTACAATCATATTTATGCTGCTGACCCATTTACCAACAGGAATCTGCTATTTCTGCTATTCCTCAGGTACCCTCATCAGGATTGATTTAAACATCTATTTTGTTTTCTTACTTTGTCTTTCAGCTGTGGAAAAATACTCGCGGAGGAAACGACGCACCGATATGGCATCCTTGTTTTAGAAAGAAATCGTAGATACATTGAAGAAAAATTACACTGTTTACGGCTGGGTTCAAACCTAGGCGTATCGAATATGCGCGTTTGTCAGGGGTTTCGTGCTGCGCGTTTTTACAGCGATTTGCGGTAAAAAAAACACGCGACAAACGCGCGTTTCCGAGGGCTACCTGGCTGTATCCCAATGGCAAATACGCCCCAAAGAAGCTCTGTACTTCTTTGGGCGTACGGCATTTTGCAGCGCGTTCATACGGCCTGTAATACGCCCAGGTGTGAACCATACCCATAGGAAATAATGGGATTTCCGTGTTTGAGCGTTTTGCAGAGCGTAGGAACGCGCTACAAAACCCCCGGGTGTGAACCGGGCCTACAATGTTGCAAACATAAACGTGAAGATTGTGTACTTTTCAGTAAAAAGTATAAAGTTTCAACACAAAGTTCAATGTTTAAATTAGTTTTTATCGTATTCTATATCTTTTTTTTCCAGACATCACACATTGTATTTATTTTTATACTACAGTAGCTGCAAGATAGTCGATGAGCATGTGTCTTTTTTTCAACCTGACTAACTATGCAAGGAATTTATGATGCAGTTTTCATATTTGTATGCGCTCGCTTGCTGTTTTAATGATTTTAATATATATATTTGAACATAATGACCACTGACAAGTGACGTGAATAACATTGATGATCTGGTTACAATGGCACCTGGAATTGGGAGGATATGTTAGGCAGCAAGGGAACATTTTGTCCCTGAAGTTGATTAGTTGGAAGCAGAACAAATGGACAAGTGTAAGGATTTGAGCGATTTTGACAAGGATCAAATTATGATGTCCAGACGAATGTGTGATGCTTTGGGCAATGTTCTGCTGGGAAGCCTCGGGTCCTGCCATTCATGTGGATGTCACCTTGACACGTACCACCAACTTAAACATTGTTACTGAACAAGTACACCCCTTCATGGAAACAGTATTCCCCGATGGCAGTGGCCTCTTTCAGAAGGATAACGCCCCCCGACACACACTGCAAAAATGGTTCAATAATTTTTTGATAGTATGGCTTATGGTGGTAGTAGTGGGGCCCTGCAAGCAGACTGTTGACTTTACACTAGAAGTGATTTGGGCAGCTATAAAGCTGCCCCTGATCACTTCCACATGCTGCCTGAGGTGCTGTACTTCTCCAAGCTCCCCCCACATGTATCACTTCCCTGCTGCCCCTTCTGTTGCCTGGGACCAGTATGGTAGGTGTGGACTGCTAGAGGAACACCAATGCACTGATCTCCCCTCATTGATGCTACAACAATTGCATCAATTCCGTTTTCAGAGCTATCATTCCCTGGCTGCTGTGTGGCCGGGGTATGATGCTGACCTGTGCTTCACTGAAGTGCAAAGGTGACATTAGGGTTCTATTAGACCTCTAATGTCTCCTACAGAGAACATATATATATATATATCCCCAGCTTATGATGACATGTAAGAAGTTTTTCACGTGTCGCCTACGAACAATTATAGGTACCGTAGGTTTCCACCATTTTACAGGTGCAGGCAATTTTGAAACTTGACATGTTTGGTATCTATTTACTTGGCACAACCCCTTCTATTGTATTTTACCAAAAAATAGGCTAATATATGGTGTTTATTTGCACAATGTATTTTTACTTGAACATTTGGGTCTGATTAAATAATTGCACTAATATCGTGTCGCAGATGCCAACATTTTATTCTGCAAGGTCACTGCTTTTAGGAAATATACCATTTTGGGGAGTGTAAGTAATCATCAGGCCTAAAATGTGCATTTTAAAATCAGTGTGAAAACAGCACTCGTGCCTCTAGATGGCACTTGTCAGCACCATCAAGGGGTGCTAGTGTGACGCAAATGGCATCCACACAGGTTAGGGCATTTTATAAATTTACCCCTTAGAGTGCAAATATAACTACAATTAAGTACTTTAGCATATTTGTTTTAAGGAGGCCCTTTTTAGATTTTGTTTCATAAGATTATTCAAATTCAGCATATCACATTCACATAAATGTTTGATACATTGTAACAAGATTATAGGAATTCCCTGTACTCATCAGCGCCACCTAGGGGTGCTAGTGTTGTGCAAACGGCCTCCACCCTGGTTAGGAAATGTTATAAATTAACCCTTTGCAGTGTGGATATTGCTACAATTAAGTATTTCAGCATATTATTCTACATTAATTCTGGTTAATAAGATTATTAGAATTCAGCATATCGCATTCCCATAAATATTTGAAACATTTTAAGAAGATTATAGCATTCCTTTAATGAGAGTAGTATGCTTTTACCAATCTGGAATTCTACGTCGTATTATATAAATAGCATGTGCATACTATATGTGTAGAAACTACAGTGTTTTTGTATATCTCAAATAATTGCAGATTTGCGGTGCCCTAAAATACAGACTTAATTAACACAATCTAATTAGAGAATATTGTTTAAGTTTTGCAGTGGGATCCATTTTTCAGGTTTAATCGGAATGTAAAAATAGCTTCTTGAAAAGTCAAAATAAATGATCAGCAATCTGCTCGTTATAAACCCCGCAATTAATTTCTCGGCGCAATTAGGAGAAGTAAGAACAGATATGCATAACCATGCCTCTGTTCAGATATTGCACCCTCCTTGTCACAACAACACTGAAATAGGTCAGAGGCAACTTCCATGAAAAATGGAGCAGTATTTTCTAGACCAAGGCTGGTGCAGAATGAATACTCGTACTGGGCCATCTAATGATTAATACGCTGAGCGGGGTAGGTCCTGAATGTATGCTTATGCCTTATGTAATGGCTGGTGAGTGATACCGCCCGGTGTAATCTTCTGAAGGAAATACACCCTCGAGGCACAAATGGTTTGCAAACAGATCAATTCACTTCCCACGGAATACCTGCACAACTTATGCAGCTGGTAAACATAAAATGTCGCTCTTGAAAAGTATAGATATAAATTGTAAATGTTCGATGGCCGAGACCTGTAACCTACAAAATGCATAGTGGATGGGAAGGCAAAACAATCCAAGGCAAAACAAAAAGAAGGGAGGGAAAGGATAGGAAAAAGGAAATAAAAAGGGGAAGAAAAAAGCAAAGGAAAGGGAAAAAGAGGGAAAAAGGAAAGGAAAAGAAAAAGGGAAGGAAAAGGGAAATAAAAATGGAAAGGAAAGGAACAAGCAACGGAAACATGATAGGAAAGGAAAAAGAAAAGGAAAGGAAAGGAAAAGGAAAGGAACAAGGTGAGGAAAGGAAAAGGGAAAGGATAAATGAAACGAAAAGGAAAGGAAAGGAAAAAAAAAAGGAAAGGAAAGGAGAAAAGAAATGAAAAAGGAAAGGAACAAGTAAAGGAAAAAGGGAAGGCAAGGAAAGTAAAAGGGAAAGGAAAGAGAAAAGGAAAGAGGAAGGGAAAGGAAAGGAAAAGGGAAAATAAAGGAAAGGAAAAAGGAAAGTGAAGTAAAGGAAAGGAAAAAGTAAAAGAAGAAAAAGGAAAGGAAAAAGGCTCATAGCCATTTCTATTGTTATTCATTGTGTTGAAATCTAATTTTATCCATTTTGATCATTAATTATGTTTTTTTATGAAAAAATATTAAAAAGTAAAGAAATGTGGGGGGAGGGGGGGGGGTGAGGGAGTGAAGAGAAGAAAAGGAATGGGAGAGGGGGTGAGGGAGTGAAGAGAAGAAAAGGAATGGGAGCATAACCTTCTCAGCCTAAGGTGGTTACCTCGGGTGACGCCTCATTGGGGGGCAGCTGGGTGGTGGTGGAGTGGCCGGGGAGTGGCAACAGCTTTCCAGGTTGCTAAAAGCTCTTGGCTAAGTGGGACGATCTGGCTGATGTCCCACCAAGCTCCTGGCAACCAGTGATGACAGAAAACTGTGTGGGACACAAGACACAGCCAATGACAGAGCAGTGCGGCATCCGCCTCCCTTCCCCCAACACAAATATGCCCCCCCCCGTGACTATTCTTTGCCAGCAACCCCCCTTCCCATGATGGCATCCCCTCAGGCAGTGAATACCTTAGGGACAGCCTTGTATAATTGCATAATAATTTTGGGTGGACTAGGCCTTTAATGAATAATCTCTAGAATGATTAAAAATGGTACACTCATATATATTAGGATTTAACCTAAATTACTAAAGGGAATCATAAAATACTAGTACATTTTGATGTTGGCTGTTCATGACATTATCCTTATTTTCTATGCAAAAACTCAAAATTCAACTGAACAACGTACCTTTACTCAATTTATTTGTGTATTTTGAACCAAAAATCATCATTTTTAAAAAATTGATAATTTTTTTTAATCAAAAATAAAATATGTAATATTTTAGGCACGTTTTACTATTAGAAAAAAGCAACATAAAATGTTTTTATTTTTTTGGCTTCTATTAAAAAAAAAAATTTTACTTTTAAAACAGAAATTGAAACAAAAAATATATTTATATTTCAAGGTGTTTTAATGGATACCTTGCTTAGGAAACCATCTCTTTGGTGTTCACCTGGTCATCTGGATACATTAGTTTGTCCAAATCTCTGATAGGTAACAGCATAGCATGGAGATGCAAGGAATCTGGGAAAGAAAATAACCAAAAAATTAATACTTTTGTTAATAATTTCTGTTTATTGTATACAATATATAGGCATTAAAAGCAATGCTCTAAGTATTCAAAGGTTCGGGTTTTTTTTGTAACTTCTAATGTGATTACTTGAAGGCACCTCAAATTTGATATTTACATTTGGTGGTTGCTGTACAGTTTCTTATAAGCTCTGGGGACCCTCGTTTTAAATTCTTTGCTCTTGAGTTTTCAAGTATAAACAACTGCTATGAACATTGTGAGAAGGTCCTAATGTCAATGTTGCTTTTAAATATGTATTATTATATAGAGAATGCAAAAGGAAGACATGCAAGGGGAACAGGATCAGGAGCAATTGTGAGAAAAGGTCCCACTTAATGTGACACTAAACCAAAAACTTGCATTCAAGTACCTCTACTAGTAACAAAAATGTATCTTATTTGTGTATCACTCGGCTGTAGATCCTCCAATCATCTCTGAATTGGTGGTGACACTGTCCTTCCTTCTGGAGGGGGGCTACTTTTGTTCCCCATGGTCCCTGTGTGTGTTGTAAAGTAGTCACCACTCCAAGCTCGCTCCCGGGAAGGACTACACTCTCAGTACAAATTAGTAAACTAACATGAGATTGTAGTCCATCCCGGGGGGAGGAGCTTGGAGTGGTGACTACTTTACAACACACACAGGGACCATGGGAAAAAAAAGTAGCCCCCCTGCAGAAGGAAGGACAGTGTCGGCACCAATTCAGAGAGGATTGGAGGATCTACAGCCGAGTAAAAGTAGTGTTACCAAAAAAGAGCTGGTTTTACAACTCATTCCGAGTTTTCTGGCTTATAACTGGGATCCTGGAGCTGAGAGATTTCAAAGAGAACTGGGAGGGAAGAAATCTCCATTCCTGGGTCCGGACTTTAGTGGTGACCTGTGCAAAGCCCTTTATGAGGAGGATGCTGGGTCAGGTTCAAGGCTCCACCTGGGTGTCAGAGGAGGTCTCTGCAGGAGTCAGGAGGGCTCCACCCTGGGACCAGTCTGTGGCTGGCAGACTGAGGAGTGGGTCACCTGTGTGGTGAAAAGTGTTTGGTAATCAGACAACCTAAAGTCGGTGGACTTTGAAAGTGCTATTTTGGATGAACTGTACTTTGTGTTTGAAAACCCCTGCGAGGGAAAACATGTGTGGACGTTTGAGTTGGATTTAATAAACGTGGGCAAGGAAGCCCTTAAAAGAAGTCATAAGCGAGTGGATGTGTCCTTAAAGGAGAACTATGAGGTGAGTGCTTTTCACTCACCTCATAGTTCTAGCCGACCTGTGACAATGAGACTGTCACAGGTCGGCTCAGTAGATCGGGAGGTGAGCGAACACATACCGGCGGTCGCTCACCTCTCGATCCTGTCACAGCTCTCTGCCGTGACAGGGGAGGGGCTGGATTCCCCCCTCCCCGCTCCGATCCTCCAGCGCTGACTGGCGGAACGGACGGGGGAGGGGGCGGGTACAGCTGGCTCTGCCTCTAGATAGGCAGAGCCAGCTGTCACTCACGCAGCTGCGCGGATCCCGGCATAATTGTCTGGATCCGCTTCAGCTGCGGCGTCTCAGTATAAAGCGACCTACAGCTCGCGGTATACTGAGCCTAGGGTGACGGGAGGATGCTAGTTTGTGTCCTCCCGTTACCCTAAGGAGAACTATGGAGAAAAGCCTTAACCCCATAGTTCTCCTTTAATGCACTACTATTGGAAGCTAAATCCCACAATATATATATATATTTAGTTTTTTTGCAAAAAAAAAAATGCATTTGTGTAAAATAATAGTTACATCAATCCTATATTGTAATGCGATATCACGTTTAAATTTAGTAAATATATAAATTAAACATTATGTGACAGAATGCACAACACAAACGTATCATCTGCCCTCTAGCGGGTTCTGCAATATTCAGGGTGTGTGCTTCAATATGTGCCCCTTAAGACTGCTGGAAAAGCCAAGATTAGCATGTCACTGTTATGATGGAGACGGAAAGCTCCACATTCTTGAACAATAATTTAAATTCATCAGATTTGGTAGCCAATTGGAAAAAAGAAAAAAGAAAATTATGTTTCTTATTATTGCATTAAAACACAAACCATAAAAAAAGAATGTGCTCTTTTATAAATGGGAATAACATCTAAACAACATAATAAAAAGGTTTAAAGTGCATGTATTTTGATGTATTTAATTTCATTTCTTTAAAAATAAAACTCTTTGTACCTAAAAGCTAAAATGACCTGAAAATCCCATATTTTGAAGATCATAATCTTATGTACATAGTAAATGTCATTATGCAATTACTGTACAATTCAGATTTCAGAAGTAAAGTTTTCCCCCTGTGATGTGAGTGGCTAATGGTGGCCATTTACTGCCATCAGTAGCCATTTTGTGGAGGGTCCGATATCTAAAATCCACATTCAAAAGTAGATGAAAGCAAAGATTATTCTAATAGCGGCTGAGATCATTGCAAATTTCTGGCTTGGTAAGATCCTGCCTGCCCGCCTAAGGGAAATGTATCTTATTACTTGATGGCATGTTGTGTACGGTAAGGTAAAAAAGCAAAAAAGGAAAATAGAAATAATTAATTATGTAAATGATGTTTAGATAAATTGATGAGATATTGGTTTATCTGTATGGAAGGAAGAATACCTCTAACCTAAATTACTGTCATACCAGTATTTGGTAGAATAGAAAACAAGATGCCGCTGTAGATGTTTGAGTCTTGTTTTAATGCTTCTTCCAGAGGCCGTAATTCTTGCTTTTTATTATTATTGTTATTGTTAATAATAAAAAGCAACATAGCTAAGTCAGTTATCACATCAAATAAACATCACATAAATTTGTTACATAGGTACATTACACCATGCAAAAACAAAATACATTTGTATCCAGTTTTCTCCAGACAGCTTTCATAATTATAATAATAATAATAATAATTATAATATCTCCCACTCTGACCACCTTTAGGTGATTTCTTAAGACTCATCTCTTTAGGGAAGCCTATCCCAGGGCTGTAGCTACCATGGGGCGAGTGAGGCACTCGCCTCAGGTGCAGCTGAGAGAGGGAACAGCCAGAGCCGGCCTGGCTGCGTCTCCACGCCCCTGTTGCCATGGCGAGCACAGGGCACCATTGGGAACAGGGGCACCAGACTGCCAGCACAGCCGTGGCTCGGCAGGGAGAAGAGGGGCGGCACAAGCTCCAGCTTCTCCTCGGATCCCCGCTGCTCTCCCCCCACCTGTATGGGCAGAGGAAGCTGTGTCCTCAATCTCTTTTTCTATTTCAAAAGGGAGATGTCAGGGGTCTAAACCCCCAATATTTCCCCGAAGCACCCCAAACAGTAAAAAAATAAAAAATAATAAAAAAAAATAAAAAACAAAAACACCCCCCCAAACACACTCATGTACACATACCGTACAGTATTACTAGGCCTGTGCAAATACTAACAATTTGGTTGGGATGAAATGAACGGAAACTAAAGATTTTTTTTATTTGTTTCATCAAACAAAACACATTTTTATGCTATTTTGGATTCTATCATGGGTGGCGGGGCGCATGACGTGACATACTGCAAACATCTGTTGGGGGGCACAATTTTCTGTCCTTGCCTCGGAGCTAGCTACGGCTCTGGCCTATCCCACTTCAACTTAAACACTCAACCACCACGTTGTCAAACAATTCATCCCTACACAGCTACCTCCTTATGTATCACTGGCCCCTCCCAATAAAACAATTCTGATGTTATGAATTGAAATAAAAAATGTTATGCAGTCAGCTTTCAACACAGGAGTTACAATATCAGAATATGCTAATGGAAACTCCTTTCACTTGATCTAAATATGGAAAAAAAAGTACTTTATTCAGGCAAAATTCCATAACTTATAACAGAAAGAGGATACATAAGAGATCACAGGCCACAAGCTAATCGCTCAAATTCCATATTAAAACCATTAGAGAGAAGTCCAGTGGTAAAACTGCATTTCTTATGGCTGGTTTCACAGCGCCGGCATTACGATAAATCCACAGGGGCCATGAAACTGCCTGTGAACCATTACGGGATCTGTAAGCAGCTCGCTTTATCACTGTAGGCTGCTGGATGCATTCACAAGGCTCACTAAGTGCAGACCGATCTCAGAAGTATGACTTGTCCAAAGCCAGCTTATAAATGATTCTCACATAAGTTGCTATGTTTCCCTACTGTTATTCATTAATTAGAATCAGCTGTGGGGGTTCCAGTGACAAGCAGAAAAACAGGAGTATGAAGGGGTTGAAAGAGGACAGTTGAAAGCTGAACACATAGCAAACAGCTAACTGCATATTTGGAATTCATAGATGTGAATAGCTGTCTTTCCTGTCAGCTCTGACAAGTACCATAGCCATAGAGGTGACCTCACTTCCCTCCATAGAGGTGACCTCACTTCCCTCCATAGAGGTGACCTCACTTCCCTCCATTGCAAGTGAGCAAAACAGCTTGATCACCCGGCATGATGATATAGATGAGGAAGGAGCATCACCATACTGATGATGCAATATCTACTCCAGTCACCAAGCTCTTGACAGTTTACTATCTGGCCTTTTCTGAAGGTCGTTTAGTACTTCCCTCCATAGAGGTGACCTCACTTCCCTCCATTGCAAGTGAGCAAAACAGCTTGATCACCCGGCATGATGATATAGATGAGGAAGGAGCATCACCATACTGATGATGCAATATCTACTCCAGTCACCAAGCTCTTGACAGTTTACTATCTGGCCTTTTCTGAAGGTCGTTTAGTAGATGAGGTCCAGGTGCATGAGCAGTCAGTATTATGTCAGTTACTGTGAGCATATTTAAAGTATGAGCTCAACCATTAAACCAGGAGTTGTCTTTATGATGAGGTGTGTCAGTGTGAATTCCTCACATGATCAAGCTAAAGAAAAGGACAATATTTTATACAACCAACAACCTGTCGAAGACATCTGCATTGAGAGCCCATGTGACAGGGTGA